GCTTATTTCTTTTTTGTAATTTGATTAAAGGTGTTAACTATTAAAGAGCTAGTCAAAATTTTATTACAAATTAACGCAAGTATATTGCAAAGTAACACCATATTATTACCCTGTGTGGGGCAGAATGGAAGGTCCTTTTTGAAATGAGAATAACTCAACTATTTTTAACTTTAAAAAAATGGAAGCTTTGATGTTAACTATACAAACATGAATCGTTCTGAAAATGATATCAAGCTGATGACGTTTTCTGCAGTGCAGTGTTTTAAATACATTACGTATATTTTAATTTTAAAATTATTCTCTTTAACGTCCATCCCTTGTTAAGCACTTCGCCGACCGAAATTGATTTTTAACTCCAACATGTTTCCACTCCCGTCTCTTTGTAGATTGAAAACACTTCCTTGAAACTAAAGGCTGAAGCAGACAGGCCGCTTTTATTTACTTAACATGTATATTGAGCTAGAAGCCGATATCTTCCATTTTGGCTTCTAATTGGATTACCTTTTCCACTTACTGACGAACATTCGAGAGCGCACGATATACCTAAATGGAATTTTTCTTTTATTTTTTTTTCCGATTCGTGCAGATTTTACTGAAAAGTTTATGCCTTCTCTATTCTATTTTTATACTTCTTTTTATTGTTTTGTAATCGACAAATATTAGATTGAATATTATTTTCAGTTGTAAATATAACAAAACCTATTTTTGGGACATTCTAAACTGCATCCCGAATCGGTCAGGTAAAATTTTTAAAAACGAAACTGCATCCCGGCTACAACGACACTGCATCCGCGGTGCAATTTTTATTACTACTAAAATTCTACCAAAATTTAACCAGTGTTGTCAAATGTAATTTTTAAAAGTAGGTACCTACCTGCAAAGTAAAAAAACATACATAAAAGGTACTTTATTGAAACCTTACCAGAAAAATGTTAGAAAATGGGACATGCATAAAAAGAATTATTGGAAAATATATTTTTATATACTGGTTATTCCAGTAATAATAAACATAGTAATAATTATTGTTTTGTAATGAGGTTATTTGGATAAAATTAACTTAAATTGCCAAATGGACTTTTAATTAGCTTTAGTTAGCATAGTACCGTAGCCCAAGTACTTTGAATTGCGCATCACGCAAAAGAAGGATTTAATAATGACCTGCAAACAGTTTTAATCATTTTAGATTGTGAAAAGGCCTTTGACACCGTATGGACTCGTGGGCTAATACACAAAATGCTTGTGAATGACTTTCCTGTACACATTGTAAAAATAATCCAGTCATACTTGACGGACAGACAATTTTGTATTAAGATTAACTTCACAATAACAGGACCTTTCCTAGCGATGGCGGGAATATCCAAGGGCTCAGTACTTTCGCCGCATCTGTATAGGAGTATGACCTATGATTTACCCACGGGTGATAATGGTGTACAAACGGCGTTGTATGCCGATGACATGTTTTTATTTTCTAGCCAAAAATCAGCCCAAGACGCTACCAGGAAGCTTAAAAACTATATAAACGGACCGTTGATCACCCATCTAGCTGAGAACAAAATAAAAATTAATTCTAACAAAACCGAGATTGTGTAACGTTTAAATTTGGCCTTAAAGCGGTTTTTTATTAAAATAGGAATACTCCGTGTTCAGTAATTATTACGAGGGTTCTTCTATACCCGCATATACGGCTGATTTTGTCGTCACAGTCGAAGGCGTTTCTTGGCGGGCATTTTTCCATAGATTCAGGGATTTTTCTGCGACACTCTAAGCGAGTAGGTGGCTGCCCTGTATTCAAGATGTCGGTCTAGCGTTTCCACCCCGATTTTAATTGTGGGTACATGAGCAGTTTGGGGTAGATATGACCTCTATTTGAGTTTAGTTAGGCTATTTATTTCGTTTTAGAGGCTTTGTTTGCTTATTTTAGCCCTTTCTGTCAAGAATTTGTTTCGTAATAGAGGGCGCTGATGGGACACCTATCTGTCACTAAGGTATGTTGGTATTACTGGTTTTTGGAGGTTTTAGGTGACGTTGTTCCGACCTTCTTGGAATTTCGAGATTCGCTCTACACGTGGATTTGTTTGAAAGGTACTGTTTCGAAATTTATTGGAACTCGTTTCAATCTATTTGGGATATTGCGAAACAACCTTTTGTTTAAGTTACAACAGTGGGATTTTGTAGTATTTTGGTGACCACCTGTTGTAAGAGCTCTCTTAGGAGGATATATTTAACCACGTGTTGAATCTCATTGGTAAGTTTTCTTCTTCGCAGTATTTAAAGTTACGACATAGTAATTCTTTTTGTAAGACCTTCATCTTTTATTTCAGTGCCCACATATATATATGTAGTCTTTCTGAATAAGCCGTTCACAAATTTGCCGTTCAATTTGATCTGGTGCATCGTTTGTTCCTCCTTTTGCAGATTAAAAAGGGGTAAATATAGCTTGATTTTAGATGATTATAACCCTAATTTATGTTTCTTTTCGTTGTATATATTTTCAGTATATGGGATTGACTTTTAACGGGTAGTATTTTGAAATCTAAGGGTGTAATTTGCCTATTAAGTGTAATTGTTAGGTAGAACTCGCTTCACGAGCCGTCTATCTTTTTGCTTTGTAAATCTGAAGATTACCTACATAAATTTATAAGCCGAACTTAATTTAACTAGTAAATGTTGAGTAGTTACTACCTATTTCTAGACCTCGCTTTACGAGAAGGCTATGTAGGTACCTGGTTATTTAATTTTAACTTCTTTATTAACCAGGGATAAATAGTTATTTCTGTGTTTTATCTTACACATTTTCTTAAGGGTTCTTGGTACGGGCCAGTAGTCCTTGTGACGGGCTAACAATTCTTGTGACGGGCTGACACTTCTTGTGACTGGCTTGCTAGCACATCTTATGACCAGCTAGTACTTCTTGTGACGAACTAGTATTCGTGTGACGGGCTAGCAACCTTTATGACAGGCAGATTGATTTGTATGCCGAAGTAGGACATCAACCGTCTACTGCCCAGCTGGAAAGAAGTCACGGTTTATCGCAAGTCTTATTATTATATTAGTATTTAATCTATTTTATTGGGGGGGTTATTAGTACGTATTTTTATCTAAACCTAATGTAAACGAGGTTTAGGGGTCTATAGTTTACAGTACATTTTATTAAACCCAAAACACGTCACCAAGAGCTCTTCGTGCGGTATATTACTTATGAGTAACTAATATTTTTAATAAGTAACAGAGTTTTACTTGTTTTTACCCCTAGCGTCCGTATATAAATCACTATTATTTATTTATTTATTTGCTAAATACAGTACACACCTCATGTGTCTCAGTTTTACGATTACCTCTAGTCCCATTTAATGATTTTTAAGTCTAATATAGTGTTTAGTTGTGAATAATACTCCCAGTAATACTGGATTATTGTTAATAGTTGGGGAATCTGAAAGTAATGTACTAAAGCATTTAGTTGGTCAATATTTTTATATTTCGTAGTGTGAACGAAGTTGACGCCCCATGTCAACTCACAACAATTTATTTATATTAAAATTTGGGTATATAAATTGAACTTTACTTAATATTTATCCCACTTGCTAATTGTCGACTTGATTTTATAATCAGATTTATTTTGATCAGCATTTATTTTGTATGGTAAAGTAACATTTATAATATATTAGGAGCATACTCAATTTGTAGTCGCCTGAAGGCCTTCGTAGAGGTAATGCTCATAGGTTTTTCTATTTGGAGTTTGATAGTGAACTGTCACTTGGATTGTTGAATGTAAGGTTAAGCTCCTGGCGCCCACTCACTTACATAACTTTTTCTACGACTCACCGCTTCTTCACTGTAGTTAGTCCGCATCCAACATTTGGATTAATATAAATCCCACCTCAGGTGCTTAGGCACAGAAAGTAGGTAGAAATGGTGCTTTTAACTAAAAGGCAGACCGAAGGCATAGATACGCCTCTTCGGGTCCAAAACCAACCTATTGAAGCCAAGCTTTCAATTAAATATCTTGGATTCCGGCTGGATAGGGGATTAACTTTTCTACAATATATTATTTACAGGGTGACTAAAAATTACGGAATTCTTAGGACGCTCTACCTCCTCATGAATAGACGGAGCAGAGTTACCCTGTCAAATAAAATCCTGTTGCATAAAACTGCATTGAGACCAATACTAATCATGTTTTCTGCTCAATGGCGCAAATTCACTATAACAAGCTGCAAAACGCTCAAAACAGATGTCTGAGGCTAGCTCTAGGGTGCGACCGTTACACTAGAATACGAGACATGCACCCTACTACAAATAGCCCATCACCAAAAAGGCTGAAAACTTCTAAGCGCGATGCCTCCCCGATGAGTTAATGGATAGCTTCATCAACATACATCGGGAAGACGGCGTGCGTAGAAAGCACGGTTGTATCCATTAATGTCTGAGCATATACCGACGACAATAACAGAACCCTCCACTGTGCATAACGTACTAAATAACAATTCACTCGATGTAGATACTTGTGAGTTCTAGTCGGATGGACGACTGAGCGGCAGAGCTGACCGGCAGATCCACGGTCGAGGGCAATTTTGTCTTCGACTGTGGCTCTTTCGGGTGGTTTTGCGGGTCAATTGTCCTTTGAATTGTCACGATAACCAAGACTATCGAAAGACCACCGTACATTGTTGACAACCCTGTTTTTCCTAGCTTTTTCAGGGGACAAATACCAATTTAACCCACGACAATTCTCTAAAATGACAATTACTGACTACAAAAACACCACAACTTCTTAATAATGCCTCTCTGGCAAGGATTGAGGGCTGCTCTATTTAATAGGTGAAAGTATCACCATAGGCCCTGCAGGTAACTGTGAAAGCCGACCCAAAACCCTCGGGAATTGTGTTTTTATTTTATATTTAAGTTGTACATATTTTGGATTTTTAAAGTTTAAAATGCAATGCCAAATATTATTAATTTTAGTTTGTCTTTGTGTTGGTGTTTTTGTGCAGTTTTTAATAATGGAAGCAACATTTTGTTTAAGTGAGAAAGGCATGTCATTATTGGTAATTCATGGCTATACATTCAGTTTTCAAAAATGTTGGCCAATAAAACAATAAAACGATTGCAATGCAGTAAGAGACCATGTAAGGCATTTGTGAAAACCCAAGGATCTGACGATACAATATAGTGCAATTAATTTTGGATTACAATCATGAAAAGTTATCCGATGAAGTTTTTAACAGACATCTCGTGAGTAATTTAGTTAAGCTGTGGAGGACATTTGTAAAAAACCATTAAAACTCGTTAGAAACGAAATTAAAAATTCTGCATTCGTGATCTTAACCACAAAGGACATTATAAAATTGAGGCAAAATATATACATTGCTATATCTTCTCTTCTTTTTAAAAATCCTAAAAATATTTCAGAATTTCATATTGCAATTAAGTCGTCTCCTATTTTAACCAATCAAAAAGAAAAATTCTTGCTTAAAAATAACAAAGAAAATAATATTGTCATATTTTCGTGTTTATCAAACCTTAAATTTCTGTCATCTGTTTCTTGTTAGTATGTTGATGGTACACTTGAATATTGTCCCCGTTTTTTTACTTAGTTGATTACAATTCATAGTCTTAAGGATGATCATTACATTCCATTAGTTTTTTTTGTCTCCTTCCTAATAAAACATTCTTATCATACAATCTTGTTTTCAAGTATATAATAGAGGAGTGTGTCAAGCTTAATCACCCTGTTTCGCCAAAAATGATAAGATTTTGAGATTGCTATTCATAAAAGCATTTACAAGGCGTTCCCAGAAGCAAGTCTACGAGGTTTTCGCTTTCACTTAGAGCAGTCATGGTACCGAAAAATTCAAGAATTAGGCTTAGCTGCAGAGAACCAAAAAAAGAGGAAGATTGAAACGGAAATATCAGAGTTTTTAACCTTTGTTTTTGGATTACCATTTCTTCATCCTGAAGATGTAGGCGATATTTTCGCAACTGATTTAACACAAATTAAGCCTATTAATGAAAAAGTGACGCAGTTTTGTGATTATCTCGTTGACAATTGTAATGCAGAAGACTCATCTTTTCAACCATTTATATGGGCAGAGCATTCTTCTTCTTTGTAGAGTACCACAAATTGTTGTAAATCTTTTCATTCAAAATATAATGCTTTCTTTTATGCCACTCACCCTAATGTGAATGTTTTTATAAATGTGATTCAAATTGACACATATATAAACATTAATAATGTTCTAATCTCAAAAAAACTTGACACTCGAGTTTAAGGAGAAGAAGATTTCTTGAAGAATTGCTGAATGATTTAAATCTACATAAACTAAGTAATCTTTAATTATATTTTACAGTTTTATTAAACATTTAACTCCTACTGGAGCAAGAATTTAACCTTAATTTTAATGTAGATGGAGCAGAACAAATTTAAGTATTCTTTTTAGATTTTTGTAAATATTTAGTTCTAAGTGGTTGTAAATAAGTTAAAATCAATAAACAAATTGCTCCAGTACGCATGTTTTTTTTTGAAGAACGGCGAAGTCTTTTTTTGTACCACCGCTCCGTTTGTTTAGAAATGAAACATTTATAGTATATTTAAGTATATTTTATAAAAATTACAAAAAATTATTTAGTATGATGAGTCTGAAAGCAAGACTTTTGTTTTCCTAAACATAACGGTACTTGGCAAGTGCTACATAGCCAGTTAATGCGTACTGGCTTTGCTTTAGTACTGCTTAAACCGCATCTGCCTCTCATGCCACGTTCAGGTTTATGCGCAGCTGAATTAAATTGGACACTCTCTAGTATAAACGGCTTTGATTTTTTTATTTGAATTTGTGATCAAGATTCTATCTTTCTTTTCGAAGCAGATACCAAAACAGGAGTTTATATAGGCAATATGCGTTTACAATGCAAGCGTCTAAAAAGTAAAAAAATATTCGATGCCACCACTTGTTGCTCTGTCAGTTAGTTAGTTAGTTACTTAGTTAGTGCTTTCGGTCATGGTATTTGCATTATGGTCCATTTTTTTTTGTTTAACTTCTGTACGATCGTCAGGGTTGTGATAATTCCATTTAAGTTATAGCAGTTTTGTATTACTTGTATACCAATCAATATCGCCCCTTTGAAGCTGCTTATCCGGTTTAAACTTGGGTAAATACTTTCGCGACAAATTTACTGTTCCAACTGCATATATCCCACGTTGCTTCAAACTTGGCATTAAGTCAATGCTATTAAAAAAATTGTCAAAATACAGTTTATGGTTTTTTCCTTTAAAACCCTCAATCAACTTGCTAACAACTCTGGTTCCCAAGCTCATTTCTCAAGTTTGATCTTTAGATTTTCCAGTATAAAAGTCAAATTTCAAACAATATCCCGACTTATCGCACAGCATCCATACCTTATAACCTCTTTTTATGGGTTTTTTTTGGCATATATTTTTTTATTACACTTCTGCCCTTAAATTTTATCATTGATTCGTTTAAAGCCAAAACTTCACTTGGTAAAAGAGCATTTTTGAAAGATTTCTCTAAATGATCTAATAAAGGCCGTACTTTGTAAAGGCGATCAAACTTGTCTGAATCACGGATGGGCATAACAGAGTTGTCGTTGATATGCAGATGTCCTAAGAGCCAACCAAATCTTTTTTGTGACATGAGGAAACTAATATAGCTGTCATAAAGGTCTGGTGCACTAGACCAATAATCCTTGTAACTTGGCAGACGTTTAATTCCCATGAGTATGTTTATTCCTAAAAATGCATTTATATTGTTATGTTTGTTTACTTTAAAACAACAGTTTATTTATTAATAATTTATTTAAACAATTATTTATTTTATTACACAACTATTCTAATTTATATATACTTCGAATGTCTTTAAACTGATCACTATTTATATTCACCACGTTTTATCTATTAATTACTATTTATCTTCACTGTCCATATAATAATTGATTGCACTGTGTTCTTCCACCAATATTTATATACAAATTTCTAAAGTATGGTGGAGTCTAGAAGCTCCTCGACCAAACTAGAAATATTTGGAACAGACCAGAAATATCTCGTTCTTTCTCGAATAGTCATCGAAATCACCTCCGCCATAGTCGTCCCATAGGTTTTGTCTTAAGGGGTTTAGTTATGTATAATAATCGGACAAATTGAGCCTCAAAGGCCAAATAAGACAGAAAGGGACTTGTAGGGTTAGAGCATGACTGAATAAAATTCACTCGTAAGGGGGTGAATTAGGGAGAGTATTATTATTATTATTATTATAATCAAATGGCTCACATAACATTGCCGCCTCCTTAAGAGATTGTTCCTCCTGGAACTCTTACGAAACTAAACTGGAATGGTTGTATTTGCAACTGAATCCTCTTTTACAATTTCCAGTTTCATGGAAGTAACAAGGGACTGTCTTCGCTGTAACCTGGGCACTGGGCGAATGGCTGCAGACCAGTATCTGAACTCCGGTATCTTGAAAGATTACTTCCACCATGTTCCTAATGATCCTCCAATCCAGCTGATTTCCTTCTATCTTCGGCATGGCTAGTTTATGTACATTGGACTCCCGCACGTGCTCCCTTAGACTAAGAAATGCTTTCCATACATCCTGATAGGTGGATCGATCTCGGAAGGTGTTTTTCGTTATTAAATAGAAAAGATAACGCGACCCGTCTTGAAGTTTCAAGGCTTTTCCAGGGGCTGGTAACTGATATTAAAGTTCTACCAGTCAACCAAACTTCTTACGGAATACATATGCCAGTCCTCGCGCGTCGTTGATGCTGGCGGAAGTACTATGAACCAACGAGTAGTCTTTCGGAAGCGAAAGCAGATCTTGTTGTTGCTCGGTCGTAACACCATATCTGGCTTTTCCAGTACCTCCATACGCACCCATAAATTCTTCAAAGACAAGGTCAGGTGTTTTTCGAAGTTGGTTTACTTCTTCTTCATGGTTACCCTCAAATGGAGCCAGCCGGTTTTGGTGAACTACTTTCGGTTTACGTTTGGGATCTTACTTATACGGTAAATTACATCATTTATTTTATTCTTGATTAGATACGGACCTTCCCAAGACCTTTAAAGCTTCTGAGAATAACCCTTTTGTCTTTTTGGATTATGGAGCCAGACTTTGTCGCCTTCTTTGAAACATCCTTCTGTTGCTTGGGTATCGTATCGCTTCTTCATTCTGTTGCTGGCGATTTGAAGATGGGAGCGAACTAATTCATGCATGTCGTATAATAGTCCTAGTTGCTTCAGTATCCACTAACAGTGTATACTTTTTGGCATTTACTTCGCCGTCTACATATACACTATCATAGCGACATTTCAAAGAGGCTATCAGTATGAGAGGGTCTTTGGAACGGTTTCGGATCGAAGCTGCCCCCTCTAGGCCGACCCGCTCTAGTTTTCCTGCGGCGTGTTGTCTTAATTTGTTGGGACCCTAGGGCGTTTGCACGAACTGCGTACATGTCCCAGTTAACCGTAATTCCAGCATTTGATAGTCTTCGTCTTTATCTTTCTATCAGTAAGGCTCTTCATCATATTCACCAGTTGATCGAGTTTACCTTCCTCTTCTTCCTCTTTTAAGGTCCTTGCTTTATTGTATCCACCAGAGGCCTGTGTAGCTGCCTCATATTCAAGGGCAGCGGACAATACATCGACCAATGTTTTGTGACGGGCTAGACGAAGTGTTTTTTGCATCTCGTGGTCACGGAGTCCATCAACAAATGTTTGGACTGCCAAACATTCTATCATGTTTTCCGGAGCTGATGGATAGGCAAATCGCACCAACCTGGCATATATGTAATAATTGGCATTATTAATAATTGAAAAAATCTAAAGAATTTACCAAAAATTCTAAACAAGTATTTAATGTTTAAATTAAATAATTAAAAAGACACAATGAAACAAACCTTTAATTTATTAATCTACATTAAACGTGACATTGTTAAATACAATCAACAGTCAAATAAATTTTGGTTTATATAGAAAGGATCACTTGGGTAAACGCTCAGTCGGGTTCGGACTAAGGTCCAGAACTTTCGCCCCTTG